TTTTTTTTTTTTTTTTTTTTTTTGAGGGGGGGGGGATAATAGTGTTGCGCACTATGAACACAGCCTTCTACTTACTTTTAGTAGACATACAACAGATTGCCTACGTTGCAAATATTGTGGCTTAGAAAAGCTACTGTACCAAAGCCAGAAACTGGGTGACGACCCCCTTTTTTCTTCCCTTTTGCAAAATTTCTCGCTGGAGAAATGTACACAAATATATCCAAAACAATATCCGACAATATCTTGAAAAAATGCTGTCTGTGGCAGAGTGTTATGAAATCTGAACCAAGCTTGATAAAGTCCCGTTAGCCCGCATTCTTTTCTGTTGGAGAGTTGAGCCCTATTCTGAATAAATATTTTCTGTTTTCGAGACCGGCATCTAAAATGTTTTGCCTCTTGAAATGAAAATCCTTTCTGTAGAGCTTTGATTTCGACTTAAGCTATTTATCCATCTCTGATTATGCCGTCCGCTCGCATACTTTTGTGATCCTCAAGTAGTTTACGTAGTGTAATACCCTGTATATTTTGTTCTCACTCGAATGTCTCTTTGGAAGGTTATAGAATATATAATATGTATAACACACACACACACACACACACACACACACACACACACACAAGAAAAAAAAATCAGGACTTAGGTGTGCAGACAGTATTTTATAATATGTGGTCTGCCGCTCAATTTGTAGGGGCCATAATGACTTAAAAGATGTCACGAACAAGATGGGTGATATTTTTTCCGCAGTTATACTCCAAGGTATCAAGTTAATATCTTTCTGTATAAAAGTCTATTAGTGTAAATGAAAGCACTCGTGAAAGAACAATCTTACACGTCGTCAATAACTCTATTGTCGTTCTTTTGTTCCTTTTTATAGCTCTGATTTGGGCATTAAATAAATCGGGCACAAAATCTATACTCAGCAAACTGAGGCAAGTGCAGTGTTTTTTCAACGCTTAGTCACTGTTGATTAGCGAACAACAACATTATTAGCTTGCTTGGATAATTGATGCATTTTCACAGAAAGCAAATTTCCGATTTGAATAAAAAGCATGCGTTACTGTTTCGTTTGCTTTTCAGGGCTTTGGGCTGGTTGTTTTGTTACGGGGATATTTTTATCTCTTAAACAGAAGGTTAGAAACGGCTTTGGGCGGGTTTTACCACATACAGATCAATATGTCTGTTAGAGTATATTTCTTACGGATACACCCATGGTAGAAATAACGTTTCTGAAGACAAAACAACATTATTGTCATACTTGAATAGAATGTGTCTGTAAGTGGAGCAGCTGCTGTCCAAGTTATGGCCCGTACGTCTTTTCACAGCTAAGCATGGCCTACCCTCTACCAGGGCGACAGATTGATTTCTCACAGATATTCACAGATATGTCTCTATATAAATCGACAGTCATTTGGCTCTCGATTTTTCTGTTTTTCCCTATATAATCTGAGGGTAAACATGATCTGACGCATCGTTTTTGTTGGATTTTACATCTTATCAAATATTTTAAATGAAACAATAACTGAAATATTTATGCTGATTTTCCATTTTTTTATCTTCTTGATATATTAGGGGATTCCCTTACTTCAGTTACTGTATTTCTCGTCGACATATAGCCACTTATCTTCACAGTATTTTTAGCGGTAACATTGTGACTGTCACGACGTAACAAGATTATTACTTAAAATTCGTTAAGAACTGCGGCTTGTGGTTTATATTTTACTTATTTAAGTAGTCTTATTAGTTGGAGATATTACCATATTTTTACAGGAACAAAATATTTTATATGTCCTTTTTACACATGACTCTGCCTATATTAGCATACGGTAACAGATTTTTCTAAACTGGAAAAAAAAAATATCAGCGAGACATTACCCCTCTCCAATTTAAAGTAGAAGAAAAAATTAAAGTCAACACCGGTAGGTCTAATAAAAGTATATTATGCACTGATTTAAGAGAATAAATCTTAATTTTAAATCAGTTATTGATTGACACGTTTTTTCTTATGATTTAAAATAGTGGCTTCTTAAAACTACCACACCCGGATTTTTATATTATAACTACTTTAACAATATCAAAAGTCTTTGAAGGCCATCTGCTAGGGGGCAGTTTCACAAATAATCTGGGTACACAATTTGGTTTTAACTTTAAGACGAATATTTAAGGCTTCTTTTGCGACCCTAAATAAATTAGTAGCCATCCACCTATATGAAATAGTGTGAATTATTCAGAAAAAGTAAGAAATGATTAAGGTTTCATACCAATGGTTTCATAATTTTTTTAAATTAAAATCTTAAAAGTTACGATAAAATTTCTGTCAAATTTTATTGTAACAGGTCTAAAGAACTTGACCCACCTTCTCTCTATAAAAGCCGGTCCGTCCCTCTTGTGTCTGGGTACATTTTACACACTCATTAGTTTGATAAGATTCTCACAACAGTTACACCTCTACCGATCTCCATGTCAACTATGTCTTATCTCTTTAAAATACTCCAGTTTAAAAATGCCCCACTTGTAGTCACCAAGGTGTGATGGGCGACTGTCAGAACTGATCCTTTTGATTTCCTAAATCACTGTCTACCAGCTCAAATAGGTCCTGTAGATAATATTGGAACGCGTGTAAGTTACAGAATTAAACCAAAGTTTTAGCATTATAATGCCAGACTGGTACCATCGTTTTACGTGACAAAGCGTCCATAAATCCACCCAGTTCTTGTAGCCAGCAGGACGCGGTGGTCGGCAAACGGGAGGATAGGAGTTAATTTCTTGCCGAATCCCTGGCACAGTGTGTTAACTGGCTGTGTCAATGCTGTCCTGCCTTGACAACGCTGTTCTGTGATCATGCACTCTGACCTCCCACTGAGGCTACCGAAGGGGGGGACAGAGAGGGAGATGGGGGGGGGGGGGGCAAACATGACCACCGTAAAGCATGAATGGCATTTTTAAATCTTGTACATTTATTTTGTAACGTTTGCACTAGCTGTATTTTAATAAGTCAATATGTAAAAAAATGTATTGAACATGATAAAAATGGAAACAGGTCACGGACGTATTTATCACTTACAGAGCGTCACTGAACTATCTCCTGTGTGTTCAGGAACAATTTGGAGAGTTATATAATAATAGATATGACACAGGCGTTATGTGCTTGATGTGCTAAGCTTATGCATTCTCTCTCTCTCTCTCTCTCTCTCTCTCTCCTCATTTCTCCAGTCAGTGAAGAACTGAACCGAGATTCATAATGCCATTTTTCCTACACATATCTCGTCATGTATGGGAGAGCTAGCCGTAATTATAGATAAAAACTGTTAGTTAACAAGCCTATCACAACGCTCCCCCCGTCAGTATAGGATAAATGATTGATTTTATAGATAGATAAATGGACAAGAAAAGCATATTTACTGAATGGTTTAATAGAAATTTAACGACAAACATCCTATGAAATTGTGTAATAATAATTACATAATAATTACATAATAATGAAGAGATAGAGAAAAAGACGTATACAAAAAAATCTTATATATGTATTACACATTAGTAATAGGCAACTCTATACTAGAAAAAAAACTGAGTGATGAAATGAATACCGTACCAAAAAATTTAGTTTGACAGAAGAGGATTGTGTCATGAATTACAGTGTACATAACCAGAGACATATCTGTGAATATTAAGTGAAAAATCAATCTGTGGCCCTGGTAGAGAGTAGCACAAGGCCTCCAGTAGACCACATTTCACCTTGGGCCGCCCAGTGGTTTGTTTTCTTTCCTCGTTCTGGGGATGGCTTAATGGACTGGTATTGAAGTCAGTGTGTATTCTGTCCGTGGCTGTCACAATGGCGGTGTGTACACCAGCCTTATGTGTGTGCAAACACTGCCAACAAAGCGGTTAGAAAAATATTAGCACTTCTTCACAAAACAGGTGGATTTGTGTGGATAGTCGTTTTCGCCAGGTGTGGCTAGACTGGGAGAAAAACGAGGACCGATTGGCGGGAAGGACGTGTTACCAAACCATGCATTATCTTATCGGTTCAACGTGCGCGTGCGTAAGCGTGTGTGTACGGGTGTGTCTGGTATGTGACTGTGTGTGTGTGAGCACACACGCGCGCGCGCGTGTGAATGTATTTGTGAGTGTGTTTAGGTTAAGGGGAGGGGGGCGCAAAATTGAATTCACAGACACATACCTCCAATGTGAGGCTACAACAACACTAAAGTATAACATTATAAGAGTTTCCAACAAGACCAAAACCGGTCCACCTTATCTACGTGTATGACCGCGCTGTTACATAATTTACATTAAATTCGAACATCAATTTAAGTCACCGAGGGCCGTTCTCATAAAAGTCAGCAAGGAATGTCAATCGGGGTGGGGGTGGGGGGTGGGGGTCAGTTGACCACGTGAAACACCCTTACTCCCTTGTCTCTCCTAAAAACAGTATAACTAGCGAAAGTTAAAGTCTAGGGCTATGTGGCAGAAATATATGACAGTAAATTCATTGCCCTCGTCTTCTTCTTTAGAATAAATTAGAAAAGAAAAAATATATATTATTCTCTCTAGTAAAATGTTGAACCCGCTTGTGGGATTGGCTTAGTTTGCTATGTACCATCACTTTATGTCCTTCCACACATTATTCTTCAATGCACATGAATTCAAAATTTACAACACAAAAACCCACAAAAAGCAATCATGAAACACGTACAAGCATGATTTAAATAATTCACAGATTTAAATAATTCACAGATATCAATAACAATGACAAGACGATAAAACTAAACTATTTTAATCTCTAATCAGCAGGAGAATCACTGCATCGTGCTACATGTAGGCCAGAAGTGGAAAACGTCGTTTGAATTTTCATTTTTTCTGTTTTTTTTTTACAAACCATTATTTCTATCTGGCCATTTTCTTCGGCTCCCAGCCTTTCTAATCATAAGGGATCACCCTGGCCGATATTTTTCTGGAAATTTTAGCAATTTTCGATTCTGACCCCCCCCCCTTCTTTTTTTTTTTTTTTTTTTGCAGTTGATAACGTAAGTTAGTAAGCATGCCAAAGCATTTTAACTTTCTCCCAATCTCTTGAAAGCTCTAGAATAAGGGCAAATTCTGTTAATAATTTAGCGTTTAGTGGGTTCCTTCATTAATGTTTATCCCTTTTGTCAAATGAAAACGCCAAAAATATATAATTTTTTAAACATTTTTTTTTGTATCTGAGGAAATTCATTTGACTTTTTCTGGGTTTTATTACGTCACTGTCCATTGAAGATTTCTTACTTACGGGGGACTTAATGGACGCCCGTTTGACACCGTGTATAACGAATATGTCAACCAACAAAGATAAAAACCACAATCAGTGTATTGTTAGAATAGCTCTTCCGTGGGAAAAAAGTAAAAATTGTAAATTTGTGGCGATAAAAAGTTCTCCGTTAAGTTATTTTGTAATGGAGTCAAGGAGCATAAGAAAAGTTAAAGCTAGATGTTCCATAATCATAGCTTTGAGCGTGGCACTTGTACCAAAAACTGTCATTATTTGTTGATTCTGGCATCTTAGAAACGTTACTGAATTCTAGATGGGTTGAGATAAATGCAGAATTGCATCCTTGCATGGAGATACGAAAAACGTCACTGGAAATTGATATTATATGTTAATTTTAACGAAACGTTATGTACAGGCTGGGGGCGGTCACTATATTTGTCAGATCGAGGTCAGCAACGCTTTAACCAAAATATTTAAAACATGCTGAAAAAGGTAGAAAGTGTTATTCCATTGATTCCGCCCAGAACGCGGGGGAATATTTAGCTACAGTGTAACACGGGGACAGTGACGTCATCATAGGCGGGGTGGGGGCAAGTGAAACATGACCCATTTAATACGTACAATATTTATTTAATGTTCTTTTTATCCGTAAAAAACTATGGGTTTGATAATAGTAAAAGCCATGTTTGCTACAATAAAGTTTGCTTAAATTTAGACCTCACTATCTTTACACAAAGAAAGAAAGAAAAAAAGAAAAATACACAACGCAAATGAAAGGTGACGGTGACAAAAAAAANCTCTATTGCTTGAAATGAAAGGTGACGGTGGCAAAAATAAATGTTAAATTTTCGTTAAGACAACCTCAGACCGTGCCCTTCATCATTATGTTTCCTATATCTGTGGTCATATTCCGCCCGAGGTGGAGGGGGCAAGGAAAGACGGCTTTTTAAGTCGTGATAAGTTCCTCGATTATGTACCGTTCCGCTAATAACTGTAATTTTCCAAAAACAGTAAGCGCTGCTTATCGCACCTTGGGGATTCAATTATAGTTATTAAAATCGGGGTTATGATTTATTCATGTGGACTAGCGCCATGTCGAAGAGATCTTGTGATAGATTTTATTATTTAAAATGAAAATACGTGTGAAATGATTTATTCTCAAGATGAATAGCACACACGCACAAACACACACACACACACACAACACACACACACACACACACACACACACAAACGTGGGTGCAGTTGAAGCAATACTTATGAATCATAGAAGAAATTGCTTGAAAATATTGCAAGCACAGAGGAAATCAGTGTTTTTTTATTCCCAGAGAGTTCGGTTGAGAAGTCGAATGAAAAGTTCAGTCGATGTTGTAAAAGTTGTTGCACTAAGTTTCCTTTCAAGTATCGAATAGAAACGAAATAAGATGGCTTTTATGACTTTCATTGTAACCTTGTAACGACGAGACCATGTCTGAAGTAAAACACTCCTCTTGCTAAATCCCGCTTTTTCCTGGTTCACTTTCTCTCTTCTCCCTCCCTTAAACTCCCCCCCTCAATCTCTCTCACTCTCTTCACTCCACGTCTCTCTCTCCCTCCCTCTCTCACTTCTACCTCCAACCTTCTCTCTCTCTTTCTCTCTCTCTCTCTCTCTCTCTCGATCTCATATATACAAACACACAAGACCAGAGATATGCCCTCGTTAGATTGATCATTTTAGACCTATAATTTAAAGATCATTACCATTAGACATGTGTCTCTTTACTTTTTGTACAAAAATATAATTGGGCATTTTTCTCTTTACTTTTAATACCATTGCTTTTTTTTACCTTTGATCCTTTTAACTTCACGCTTTATTTCTATTTCAATTGTGTTTTATTTGTTAAGTCTACAGAACATATTTATATATGTAAGATTCTTAATAAATAATTTAGTATTATTATTCCATTATGTAAAATATCTCGCCACACTGATACTTGGAGGTTGCATGACTGAAAATTAATACACGCTAACAGTTCTTATCGCTCGGCATTTCTATCCATTAATTTAATGTTTTTTTTTGCGGTCTGATATCGAGTATAAATTCAACTTACAATTCCGCTCCTACATCATTCCGAACACAAAAATTTAATTATCGCTGAAAGATGAAGGTATTTTGTGGCATGGTACTGTTTGCCTATGTGGCAATAGAAGCCTCGCAAGCAGCCGCTCTTTTAGGCGGAGGTGGATTCCCGTTTTTGGGCGGCCTTGGAAGCGGAGTGCCGTGTTGCAACTTTGGAAGCGGCTTTGGAAACCTCTTTGGAGGCGGTTTTAACAGCGGCCTTGGAAACCTCTTTGGAGGCGGTTTTAACAGCGGCCTTGGAAACCTCTTTGGAGGCGGTTTTAACAGCGGCCTTGGAAACCTCTTTGGAGGCGGTTTTAACAGCGGCCTTGGAAATCTCTTTGGAGGCGGTTTAGGGAACCTCTTTGGAAATTCATTTTTCGGCGGCTTTGGAAATCCATTTTTCTTTGGATAATTTAGAGGTGGATTTTTTAATCGGCCTTGGTAAGTAAATCATTAGCATTACGTTAAAAAGCACCGAAAAAACCTTTATACTAGGCCTATATATATGCATAAAAACTAAATATTGTTAGAGACTAAAGATATGATGGTGTGTGTCAGCCCTTATCTTCTCTGACTATTTGAAAGGCCACGGTGCTGTTTGAACGCAAAGAATCGAAAACAAAAATTTATTGTTAAGAATTTTAATGAGAAGAAGCCTAATTCAATGGAATCATATCCTAGACTTAACTTCAGTACGATAAGTACACTTAAAGGGATAATAACTCTACGTTTTGGCCAAAAAATGAATTTTCCTGGAGTAAATAACAATTTTCTCATACTTACCAATGGTTAATGAATCCATTTCTACATTCAAAGTTAGTCCCTGGTATTTTCTAAAAAGTTTGGTTTTTTGTTAAAATCTCTTAAGAGATTACAACAGAGTATAGCCATCAATGGAGGTCACGTAGTCTGAAGACAAGCTCAGATATCAGAATAATAGCTTTAACTCCTGTTTTTGTCGTAAAACAGAATATGTTATATTTCTATGAGTTATTCACAATGTTTTTATTGTGAAATATAGACCTCATACGAAGAGTTATTATCCCTTTAAAGTTTAAAGTTTGCTTTAAAATTCAGAGGAAACCAACTTACTTGTCAGTTTTCTACACAGTTCGTGCACTCGTTGCAATGCATTTCACCGGTAATTGAGCCTTGTGTTGTGCAATCACTGTACATCTAAGTATTATTTGAAGGGCGGAGGGTCCGCAGATTCGAAGCCGACCCCCCCTCCCCCTCCCCCTCTGCCGTAGGGTTTGGGGCCCGCTGACAGGGCCACGAAAAAGTTTGGCATTGTAGAGGGTGAACGGTGCCATTTGGTACTTAGAACTATGATTCAACTAGTGAAAATCTAATTTCAAGAGAGGAATAATATTGTGATTTTTATTAGAAATTGAAGGGGGGGGGGGGGGGTCAGGACACAGGACACATCAACTGGTGATACGGAAGTCACTACATGTACGCCTGTGTTCGTTATATTTTTTTTAGCTTGCATGAAATTATCTGTATTTTTATTTTAATAAAGTGCTTATATTTCCTACAGGTTTTTAAAAGTGAAGCACCAAGACAAGATTACAAACCAGTCAAAGATGTAGACAATTGACCACCGATACTGCAAAAAGATTACACTCACGCCAAGTTGAGACTTTTAATTCATACTGAACCCATTCTTGACCACTGAAGATAAGAAATCAAGCTGCGGATGGCTACTGAACTCTTTCTCTTTTTCTTTAACATTTTGGAAGACATTAAATATTATACTCAGTTTCGGCGGAGATATTTACAAGGAACATTGAACTTCTAACACGTGTCAAGGATATTTTACTAGTTGTTACAGACTTTGAACAGATTATTATTAGTATTATTTTGCAAACTGTGCAAGGAAAATGTACGAAAACAAGAAACAGAACGGATATTTGTCCCCTATCTTGAATATAAGTTTCGTGTGTTCAAAATTAAAGTTGTAGTCTATTTGTTTTAATTCACAGCAAGAAAACGACGGTTAGAAACCAGGCTGCAATATAGTCGACTAAATGAGTCTTTCAGAAGCTGCTAACGCTTTTTATGTCAAGTTAACCTCCATGAGCAGAATATTGAGAACCAATTGTAGCGATCGCTTTCGAAATGATGTACTTCAAACAGTAAATAGTTATTTTAAGAGGATACAAAAGCGAAAACTGAACAAAGGTGTTTGTGTTTGTGATATTTGTGATATCTGTTCAATATGACGGGGTAGACGGTCTCAGTGGCTTCTTGATCGTTAATAATTTGCGAATTGTATGGATAATCTTTGGGAGCAGTTTGATGTTTATCTATTTTGTAGAAAAAATTAAATCTTTTTGGTATCACTTGGTATGTATACTGAATGACAGTAACACAACACTGGTCTGATTTTTTTCTGTCTGCACATGCAACTAAAATAATTTATTTTCGGATTAGAAATGTTAGCAGTTCGGTATCTTTGACAAATCATGTGTTTGCAGTTTTTGTGGTACCGCTTAAGTGATGCCGAAGAGAGCACTGTCTTACCGCATTCAAAAATTCATTCGGCACGATAAAACGAAATCTTAGTTTCAGAATGTGTGTTTAGGCTTGCTTTCTATTCTTGTACTATTTAAAACGTAGTCACAATAAAAAGAATAGTCCTGAGCGTCCTATTCTTTCCGCCTATAAGCTCATCTACATTGCTAGATAGTCTTATTACTGGGTTGTTATGCCTCGGATCATTGTGATTTTTTTAAATTTGAGTTCGGGCCTATTGTGACGGCTGTACACGTTAGAATAGAACGCCCAGACCAACAACATGCGCGAAAACACTCACAAGTCAAACCTTAAATTGAATTGAATCTTCAGGAAAGGTTTTAGAAATACACGTTCACTAATTGCAATTTGAGTAGTTTTGGAATATTTATAATCGTCCTCCTTCGTACTTCAGATTTCCTGCAAACTCCTCTTCTCCAGTTCGTAGCAACACTTAGACTAAAAATAAAGAAAAAAGTTGCAAAAATTAAAGCGTTCATTCCAAAAGACATGCCTTTTCAGCCCTTAGTTTTCCACACGGGCACACTCGCACGCGCACACATACATGTAGAAACGCATTCACGCATGCGTCTTAGAAGTTCTATTCGTAATTACTCTGATTTATGTCTGCTAATTGATTTAAATAAAAGAGGAATTTATATCTGAATGCAAAAATAGAAATTAAGCGAGTATATCGTAAAGTTTTACTTAAGCATGTACTCATCATTGACATTAAGTCTACAAATAATTCGTATGCATCATATTCCTGCACCATCGCTTTAAATACCCTAACAGAATGAAAACCTATCAACTGCTACGTTTACGAAACCTCGGTAATAAATAAGTTATCGTAATGAAGCATTTATGAAGATCTACAATAAGGGTGTAACGTCTTTATAGCATAGATCTTCATAGGATAGGGTGTTACATCTTTATAGTTGATCTTCATAGACGCATCAATTCATAATGATAACTTATTTATTTCGTAAAGATCTTTACGGTAATTTGACATGAATCTTCAATGTAATCCCGGTATAAGTGAATCGTGTTTCTTGATAGATGGCAAAACGACAAGTTACCAGAAAGCTAAATCATTATTACCGCCACCGCCCAAATATTACTCTGGTATGTTCAGTTCGGGAATATTAATTTCGGGAATATGTTGAGTCCGTCTGCATGCGAAGGAATGATACACAGTAGCAAGTCCATCATTAAATATTGACACAAAGGTAAGTCGTTACGATTTTATAAATCGTACATTAAATTGGAATGAAGAAAAATTTTATTAAATAAATCTTTAAGGTTATAATGTGTAAATGTCTTGGGAAACTACTGTAAAGTGTGGCGGATTTTGTAATTATTTCTAATGTCGTCCGCTAGCTACTGAGCAACACCTCGCAACAGCTGGGAGAACGGGTTTTGTCTACTATTTCTTACCTTATCCGGGGAATAGTCCGGGTCCGCCGGTTGCTGGCGCAGTGCCCGGTCCACCAATAGCATTTAATATCTGGGCAAGAATAGCCGGAGTCAAAGCTGAAAATAAATGTATTATTTTAATAATTTAACAATTAAAATTGTGCTGAGAGATTTTCTTTCCCATAGTGAATCTTACGTTGCTCCATTTTTCGTTCGTATTCCGGACTTCTAAACGAATTAGGTTTTCGGGCCTCTTATTTGTGAACACGAACACTCAAGTTACTGACTCAAACCGCGATTTCATGACACTAACGTAAAATTAGTGATTACGAGCAATGCGTTAAAAACCACGAACCATTAATCTGCTTAACTGGTCAATTGCACCTTGTGATACGTCGAAGAACTCTGCGATGGAATAATTGAAAATCCAATGATATCAGAAATATCCTGTCTTGTTTCATATCAAAAATGCACCAATATTTCCAAATATTTCTTACCTTGTCCACCTGCAGCCGCCCCAGGGGTTCCAGCGCCAACAGCCGCCCCAGGGGTTCCAGCGCCAACAGCCGCACCAGGGGCTCCAAAGCCAAGGGCTGCCAACAACTGCAAAAAGGCAGCCTGACTCAAACCTGGAAGTAATTATAGTGTTAACTGTAATGCAAAAGTATCTTTCCCAAAAAACGAATCTATGTATTTATTTGTTCTTTCGTTGTTTATTATTTCATTAATTGTTCTTTTTTATAACATGAGGAAAGAGAGAACAAATTGGGGGAAGTTCCGGAATGAGAAAAGATAGGGGCATTAACAATCTGTTAACACGCAGTATGGTTGAAAAAAAAAAATTTACGTAGTTAGCCAGAGACCCGATGGAAGCTGGCCAAGTCCTTTGGGTAATCAAACGCTGGGCTTGTGGCAACTAATTTTCCGCTGGGATACTTCGTGGCAGGAGTACTAATTAGTGTATTTATGCTCCCAAATCTAAAGTTTAAACGGCAGTTATCGTTTATGATGCCTGACTTTATCGCGTGTAACATGTAGTACTACAACAATTCATTGGTCAGTTTGACCATGGGATAGGTTTGGAAACTCTGCAAGGCAATAGTTGAATGTTGAATATACAACGGTCGCAATAATCCCACGTCTTGTTTCACATCAAAAAGACACCAATTTCCAAAAATTTCCTACCTTGTCCACCTGCAGCGGCCCCAGGGGTCCCAGCGCCAACAGCCGCCCCAGGGGCCCCAGGGGCCCCACCGCCAAGGGCTGCCAACAACTGCGCCAAAGTTAAACCTGGAAATAATGATATTGTTAAAAGTATAGTACATTCGATTCCCCCCAAAAAGTGAACAGAGGTATTTTTGCGTTATTCTGTGCTTTTTTAAAATAAATCATTCGCATTTATATCGCGGCGGAAGAACGAAAAATATGGGGCACCTTCCAAAATGAGAATTACAGTGCCGCCGGAAAGTAACCTTATAAAAAGCTGCATGGACTCCCGACCCTCCGCCGTATGGTCGAACGAGTAGAGTGATCAAAGTAGAGCGAAGCCACCGCGGACGGTCACTTATTTGTGATCATGCTAAGGTTCGATCTTTATCTCAGCGTGCTGGGGTTAGGCTCTTTTGGTAGCAGAAACTAAGACACGATTTAATTCAATTTATTAAACCTTTGAGCCCTACGGCTAATCAGAATATAAAACAGAGACAATATAAAGTTATATCTACTCAACTATCATTACTACAACACCTACTACTGATACAAATGATAATAATAATGATAATAATAATAATTCATCGGACTGACATTAATCTTAGTTCCGATGCACATTTCCGGTATTTTCCTAAGTTTTTTATTTGTGAGACATTGTTAAGTGATAGTAATTTAATTAATTTAAAGACACTTAGCTTTGTATAATAAAATTTCTTAGAATATTTCTGCCTAATCGTACGATTGTTACGAGCAATGCGATAAAACCACGAACCATTAATCTGCTTAACTGGTCAATTGCACCTTGTGATACGTTGAAGAACTCTGCGATGGAATAATTGAAAATCCAATGATATCAGAAATATCCAGTCTTGTTTCATATCAAAAATGCATCAATATCCAAATATTTCTTACCTTGTCCACCTGCAGCGGCCCCAGGGGTCCCAGCGCCAACAGCTGCCCCAGGGGCCCCAGGGACCCCACCGCCAAGGGCTGCCAACAACTGCGCCAAAGTTAAACCTGGAAATAATGATATTGTTAAAAGTAGTGCATGCGATTCCCTGCGTTATTCATTTGCTTTTTAAAAATAAATCATTCGCATTTATATCGCGGCGGAAGAACGAAAATTATGGGGCACTGATGCCTGACTTTATCGCGTGTAACATGTAGAACTACAACAATTCATTGGTCAGTTTGACCATGGGATACGTTTGGAAACTCTGCAAGGCAATAGTTGAATGTTGAATATACAACGGTCAATAATCCCACGTCTTGTTCCACATCAAAAAGACACCAATTTCCAAAAATTTCCTACCTTGTCCACCTGCAGCGGCCCCAGGGGTCCCAGCGCCAACAGCCGCCCCAGGGGCCCCAGGGGCCCCACCGCCAAGGGCTGCCAACAACTGCGCCAAAGTTAAACCTGGAAATAATGATATTGTTAAAAGTATAGTACATTCGATTCCCCCCAAAAAGTGAGCAGAGGTATTTTTGCGTTATTCTGTGCTTTTTTAAAATAAATCATTCGCATTTATATCGCGACGGAAGAACGAAAAATATGGGGCACCTTCCAAAATGAGAATTACAGTGCCGCCGGAAAGTAACCTTATAAAAAGCTGCATGGACTCCCAACCCTCCGCCGTATGGTTGAACGAGTAGAGTGATCAAAGTAGAGCGAAGCCACCGCGGACGGTCACTTATCTGCGACCATGCTCAGTTTCGATCTTTATCTCAGCGTGCTGGGGTTAGGCTCTTTTGGTAGCAGAAACTAAGACACGATTTAATTCAATTTATTAAACCTTTGAGCCCTACGGCTAATCAGAATATAAAACAGAGACAATATAAAGTTACATCTACTCAACTATCATTACTACAACACCTACTACTGATACAAATGATAATAATAATGATAATAATAATAATTCATCGGACTGACATTAATCTTAGTTCCGATGCACATTTCCGGTATTTTCCTAAGTTTTTTTAATTGTGAGACATTGTTAAGTGATAGTAATTTAATTAATTTAAAGACACTTAGCTTTGTATAATAAAATTTCTTAGAATATTTCTGCCTAATCGTACGATTGTTACCCTACGGCCCAATGCAGGGTACTATTGTTAACAGAAACCAAAGAGCGCATGGATGACAATGTTATATCCATAGTTACTGCGCCAGGCCGCAGGAACCACCCGCAGGTACCCGCAGAGTAAGTAAGGTGACTTTCCGGCGGCACTGTAGGTTGGAGCATTCATAATACAGACTTGACATTTAATATGGAATATTTTTTCCAAAACATAATTCATCAATTTTTTTCCTATTTTGCTGACTGATAAATGAAAATAAGGATTAAAATCGTGTTTTAATAACTTGTCATTGTGACATCAGTTCATTAATTGAATTCGTCAGTGATGCAAACAAAAATACATTGCCTATTTTAAGTCATACGACAACTATTGAGAGCGATATTTTGGATCTCCATATTTTCCTAATTATTGTCTTTAAAAGAGTTACACGCCCCACACAGGGCCCCCATGTCAGTGTCTAGTCACAGCAACAGTCGCTGTTACGCTTGACCTCATCTTGCTGCTACCAGAGCTTTCAAGCCGCAAGGCATTTCTTATGATAGGCTTTTTAGAGCTTAATCTGGAATAAAATTCCAGAATACGGTTAAAACTTGTCCAATCTGGCTCAGTTTTGATGTAGGACATGCAGGCCGTTGATTCGGCGAGTAATGACCTACCCACATATTGTCTATGTGGTTCAAATATGGCGACTTCGATGACCAAGGTAGCTACTCATTCCCTTGGTTCTGTAAGTTATCTGCTATTAAATGTGCTCTGTGTGAGCCGGCAACCTCACCCTGCAACCTAAAATTGTTCCTAAGGTGCCCCCTATCAAATAATAGTCAAGTGGTTCCCAGATTATTCCTTTATTTGATCTGGTTCAGGTTTTCATCGATGACTACCATTGGTGATTTGGCATGCGATTCCCCAAAAAAAGCGAAACGAGGTATTTTTGCGTTCTTCTTTTGCTTTTCTAAAAATTAATTATTCGCATTTATATCGCGGCGAAAGAAAGAAAAACATGGGGCACCTTCCAAAATGAGAATAACATTAGAGCATTAACAATGTGTAAAAATAACCACGTAGTAATCCATCGAGATCATTTTTTTGCTTTTTGCACGAGTTACTTTATTTCCAATAAAAGAGGTTTGCTAGAAGAATTTAGTATGTATAGAAACGGCATCTGAAAGCTGGCCTCTTTATGCATTTTCACAAAATATGATTTTGACTTCTTTTCAAATCAATTCAAAGCAAAAAGGCGCTGCTGGGATGTGAAATAGTCAAATATAATTAATTATTTTATGCAGTGATAACACGTGTGACATTAAATACTACAATAATTCAGTGGTCAATTTGACCATAAGATACATGTAAGTCTGAGGATTCTGCGAGGTAATAGTTGAAAATACAATGCTTGCTGGAATCTCTCGTCTTGTTTCGCAACAAAAAGGCACCAATCTCCAAAATTTTCTTACCTTGTCCACCTGCAGCCGCCCCAGGGGTCCCAGCGCCAACAGCCGCCCCGGGGGCAGCACCGCCAAACAACTGCGCTAAAAGAGCGGGGGGCAAACCTGGAAATGATGATAATGTTAAATGTAATGCAAACTTCTCCCCCCTCCACGTTTTTATGCTGCTTTTTATACCACCATATGCATACATGTTGGCCCTAGTTGCACCCCGTGACCTCGGCCCTGTACCCCCCCCCCCCCCCCCCCCCCCCAACCCCCCCCCCCCCACCCCGGCCTCCCTTTTTTTTTTTAAAATGGGGAAATTTTTTCAAAAAAAAACCTTNTGACCGTTTTTTTTTTCGCCCGCTCGCACCGATTTTGGGGTCCCCAGAGGATGTCATCCATAAAAATAAAAAAAAGTGTGGCCTAATCGTACGATTGTTACGAGCAATGCGATAAAACCACGAACCATTAATCTGCTTAACTGGTCAATTGCACCTTGTGATACGTTGAAGAACTCTGCGATGGAATAATTGAAAATCCAATGATATCAGAAATATCCAGTCTTGTTTCATATCAAAAATGCATCAATATCCAAATATTTCTTACCTTGTCCACCTGCAGCCGCCCCAGTGGTACCAGGACCAACAGCCGCCCCAGGGGTACCAGCGCCAACAGCCGCACCAGGGGCTCCAACGCCAAGGGCTGCCAACAACTGCGCCAAGGCAGCCTGACTCAAACCTGGAAGTAATTTTAGTGTTAAATGTAAAGTATTAAATGTAAACTTTCCCAAGTATCTTTCTCAAAAAACAAATCTATGTATTTATTCGTTCTTTCGTTTTTATTATTTCATTAATTGTTCTAATTTATAACGTGAGGAAAGAGAGAAAAAATTGGGGGAAGTTCCGGAATGAGAAAAGATAGGGGCATTAACAATCTGTTAACACGCAGTAAGTAGTCAGCCAGAGACCCGACGGAAGCTGGCCAAGTCCTTTGGGTAATCAAACGCTGGGCTTGTGGCAACTATTTCGCTGGGATACTTACTTCGTGGCAGAAGTACTAATTAGTGTATTTATGCTCCCAAATCTAAAGTTCAAACGACAGTTATCGTTTATGATGCCTGACTTTATCGCGTGTAACATGTAGAACTACAACAATTCATTGGTCAGTTTGACAATGGGATAAGTTTGGAAACTCTGCAAGGCAATAGTTGAATGTTGAATATACAACGGTCGCAATAATCCCACGTCTTGTTTTACATCAAAAAGACACCAATTTCCAAAAATTTCCTACCTTGTCCACCTGCAGCGGCCCCAGGGGTCCCAGCGCCAACAGCCGCCCCAGGGGCCCCACCGCCAAGGGCTGCCAACAACTGCGCCAAAGTTAAACCTGGAAATAATGATATTGTTAAAAGTATAGTACATTCGATTCCCCCCAAAAAGTGAACAGAGGTATTTTTGCGTTATTCTGTGCTTTTTTAAAATAAATCATTCGCATTTATATCGCGGCGGAAGAACGAAAAATTTGGGGCACCTTCCAAAATGAGAATTACAGTGCCGCCGGAAAGTAACCTTATAAAAAGCTGCATGGACTCCCAACCCTCCGCCGTATGGTTGAACGAGTAGAGTGATCAAAGTAGAGCGAAGCCACCGCGGACGGTCACTTATTTGTGATCATGCTAAGCTTCGATCTTTATCTCAGCGTGCTGGGGTTAGGCTCTTTTGGTAGCAGAAACTAAGACACGATTTAATTCAATTTATTAAACCTTTGAGCCCTACGGCTAATCAGAATATAAAACAGAGACAATATAAAGTTATATCTACTCAACTATCATTACTACAACACCTACTACTGATACAAATGATAATAATAATGATAATAATAATAATTCATCGGACTGACATTAATCTTAGTTCCGATGCACATTTCCGGCATTTTCCTAAGTTTTTTAATTGTGAAACATTGTTAAGTGATAGTAATTTAATTAATTTAAAGACACTTAGCTTTGTATAATAAAATTTCTTAGAATATTTCTGCCTAATCGTACGATTGTTACCCTACGGTGCAAGGCGTAGTATTATTGTTAACGGAAACCAAAGAGCGCATGGATGACAATGTTATATCCATAGTTACTGCGCCAGGCCGTCGGGATCATTTCTAGTTTCTTGCACGAGCTATTTTATTTCCAATAAAAGAGTGCAGTATGAATAGAAACGGCATCTGAAAGCTGGCCTCTTTATGCATTTTCACAAAATATGATTTTGACTTCTTTTCAAATCAATTCAAAGCAAAAAGGCGCTGCTGGGATGTGAAATAGTCAAATATAATTAATTAAATTAAATACTACAATAATTCAGTGGTCAATTTGACCATTAGATACATGTAAGTCTGAGGATTCTGCGAGGTAATAGTTGAAAATACAATGCTTGCTGGAATCTCTCGTCTTGTTTCGCAACAAAAAGGCACCAATCTCCAAAATTTTCTTACCTTGTCCACCTGCAGCCGCCCCAGGGGTCCCAGCGCCAACAGCTGCTCCGGGGGCAGCACCGCCAAACAATTGCGCTAAGAGAGCGGGGGGCAAACCTGGAAATGATGATAATGTTAAATGTAATGCAAACTTCTCCCCCCTCCACGTTTTTATGCTGCTTTTTATACCACCATATGCATACATGTTGGCCCTAGTTGCACCCCGTGACCTCGGCCCTGTACCCCCCACCTCCACCCCCATCCCAACCCCGCCCTCCCTAGCCTGGTCTACTATTTCTGTTATAAATGGGGAAATTTTGTCAAAAGATAAGCTTGCTGAGCACCTACAATTTTATCAGGAGGTTTGCGCGTGCGACACTTGAGGCTAAGACCCCATTTCCATACCTAGATCGATCTAGGAGGATCGGCTCATCTCCGAGGGGATTCTCTCTAATTTACATTCAGCTTAAGCGGTCTAGATGTCTGGCACGCCTACTGAAGTTGCTAAAGGATATTTATTTACCCCCTAACAGCTTTAGTAGGCGTGCCAGACATCAGAGCTGCTTAAGGTGGGTCGATCCTGCTTGATCGATCTAGGTATGGAAACGGAGTCTTAGAATGACATTGTCGGACTGGGTCCATGTAGCAGGCTGTAAAATGTGCTGTCCTTGCTCCGAAGTGGAGCAGTGGAGCCCATCTAATAGATTTGAACAGATGAATTCACCCTTTAAAAGAGGGAAATGGGAATGGCCAAAAGGTTGCGTGACATTTCTCAACTTTTCGCCCCTTTTTGCCGGCCAGCCGGCCTGATTAATTTTTAATTTTAATTAAAATTAGTTAAAACTATTCATGACTACTACCCAAGACGCCACGCGCCATCAACTTAAAAACTAAATGCCTTTTCTCTGTGATATAAGCCGTAATAAAAGAGCGAAGTAAAAGAGGGCGATGCTTACCAGTAGCAGGAATCACAATACCAGTTCCTCCAGGTACAGCGGGAGTTCCCCCTGCTACAGGAAAAAACGTTGGAGGAAATTGTGGCGGCGGAAAAGGTGGTGGCTGAATCTGTTGCTGCTGGAATTGTTGGAAAAGTTGTAGCAGTTGTTGTAGCAGCAGTTGTTGCTGTAGCCGCTGTTGTAACTGCAGTTGAAGTTGCTGCTGTTGCTGCTGCTGTTGCTCTTGTTGTACTTGCTGTCTCAAGGCGTTGAGCACGACGGCGGCTCCCTCGCCTTCAGTGAACACATATCCAAGGACAAACAACGCCAACCAGATCGCCTTCATTGTTGACACTTTGGTCTTCCTCAGCTGGGATCTGTCTTCAGTCTGCAATACGCCTGGGTTTTATAGATCGCCGATCGGACGTGGGCTTTGAAATGTATCAAATTTCTTAAATGTATAACATTACGGTTTTGTGAGAGAAAACGGTTATTAGGAGTCCAATTTTGATATCTGTGTAAAGACTACAATTTGGGTACAAGTGCGGTAATTGTAACGTTCCCGAAACGGTCTGTCATGCAAGTAATATAACTGTATGTTGTCTAGTTACTATTTTATCACGCAATGTGTGTGTGTGTATGTGTGTGTGTGTGTGTGTGTGTGTTTGTGTGTGTGTGTCTGACTGTGCCTGTGCGTACGTGCGTGTGCTTGAACAAGATGTATTTGATGTATTGAGATGTATTGTAATTTATTGCAAACGTTTTATCAGGGTTTCAGAGGAAGTTGCGTTTACAAAATACGTAAATGTCGTAACCGCCATTTAAACTCCACCCTCTAATGAGGGGGTGGACCGAGATTTGTCACGATGAAAGATAGACGCAGGTTCAATTGCAGATAAGTAACGACTCCAGAAAGCTCTCACATCTGGCAAAGATTATTCTTATTCCGCGTCTGGCTGGTCTTCTTTCTTCTTTCTTCCCCCTCCCACTTTTTTTTTGTCATTTCTACTTGAAATGTGCGTTTAAATTTTTTGGGATTTTTTTTAAAGAGAGCATTCCATATTGTTTTTAGCATCAGTATTTATGTTGTCACGGTAACCATTGCTAATTTTAAGAAGCAATTAATGTTTTCTTGTTTTGAAAGCATTTTTTTTTCTTCTTGGAAGGTTTCACTTTTAATTCATAAAAGCATTTGCTGCACAATACTAGTCAATTCTTAAAAAACATGTCTGAAAAACTCCTCTAAATTAGAAATAGACATTTTGTAAGGGGTCATCCTGGATGCCATTTTTTATTATCATTTTCACAAGTGTTCAAAGAGTGTTTTGAAACCTCCTTCAGAGAGTACAAGGTGATAAAATAAAAGAAAATGATGACATTTGACAGAAATTCGGACCATCATTTTCTATTATTTTTTTAAAAGTTCATTAAGTTCAAGAAGTTTCTTTCTCCCCGTGTAGGGTTTCTAAACTGGTAAAAATGATGCTATAAAAGGACGACCCCTAACATTACACGGAGATATGACACAGCGTCACATAATATACCGTGCTAGAGTACAAGTCATGGCAGTGGGAGATAAATACTTCAATTTCACAAATTCTAGTCTCGGGTCGATCTTGGTAGTGAGAAAGTCTCTAGGTTGGGGAGGTAACTGGTACACCCCTGTTCCAGGGTCATGAAGGCTGTTCCGCTCACACGCCAAATATGACACCCATTTCAACAAGAAAGAACGCTTATCGCAGAATATTAGACTTCGAAACAAAAAGGTGAAATTATGATTTGATAATATGCAATTTGACAAATTACCGCACTTAAGATAAAATGTTCGGCGTGCAAAAAGGTAAGAAATTACATGATGTAAGTCGGTCTTTAAATCTCTTTGCAATCCGTGTGTGAAAAGCAAGCTCTTTTTAGGCAGTATCATTGACCTCCCTCATTCCAAATTTAGAAACCAATGCTGCCCATTGATAACAAGTCATGTGCTTTTCTATACATGCATATGTAACAACTCTTACTTGACTGAAACTGTGCGTCGCTCATTAAGGAACATTACTGTATGTAAAGTACCGCGCATTTTGTGTCAACACACAAACTACAATGGTGATTCTAGTCTTTTTTTCTGACATTCCACTGCTTATACATTTATATATTTTGTTTTTCTCATCTAAAGAAAAGTATAGAATACAACATGATTGCTTTAATTTCAGGAGCGAAGAAAATGATTTTGGCTTATGTCACGTTTTCAGTGTCGAGAACAAATCTCTCACTACAGCGTTATTCTTAAGTGTATCATTTACAAAGCGTTTCACTGTTTGGAAACGGACAGAAATGCCCCCCCCCCCCCCCCTGCACCGAACAAACCTACCGGTATTAGTAATAAATAAAGAATAATGAGGAGTGAAACTTCATTTTGAAAGTGCATTAACCTAAATGCAATAGAAAAATCTGTAAGCGTTTTTCACAGATGTAAAGTTGCAAAATTTCCACTGTCCCTGTGGAATAAGAAACCATACACATTTATGCATTTTACTGGCAATTGTCGTGGTTTTAGGCTGCGTTCACATGACAAGTCTATTTTCTAAAAATCTATTTTCTATTCGCGGTATCTTGTGATCACGCTCTGTGCCCTGAATACCCTACGGCGTAATTACTGGCAGCGGGAGCCAGTTACTTCCAAAGCTGTAATTAATTCTCGGCTGCGCTCGGAGTGATCACAAGATACCGCGAATAGAAAATAGATTTTTAGAAAATAGGCTTGTCATGTGAACGCAGCCTAAATGCTCAAGTCGCAGACTCCGCTTAATTCCGTAATGACCTTTTTGGACTAAGTGTTTTGTACAGGTAGCCCCAGATACGAGATACGTGACGAAAAAACTTGCCCCAACTTCTGCGTGTCAGATTACTTCCATGAAGTTTTATACAGTGGAAATTGTCGATGCCACAGTGGGTATTTCTGAGAAATAAAAATTATAAGTTAAGTGCATGCCTAACCCCCGCTATAACCAAACTTGTCTTTGGGGATAGAACGGCGTGGACTTCATGGGGGGGTTGTTATTGTATTGTCACCTGTATTCCATTTGATGTAGCTATACAGCGATAAGCCCCTAAAAACTTTGTGACTGTTCGCACATGCGCCTCAGGTGCATCGTTCAATGCAGAGGGCACTGCACAAAATACTAAAATGGCGATTTGAATTTTTTACTATCGTTACATTATTCATTTGCTGTGATATTCTGGAAAAAATCCGATTAGAAGATGAACAAAAACTCATGATTTTTTGTGTCACCTCAAGCATTGTATTATCCGTGACACATTGTTTTTTTTTTTTGCAATGGGAAAATATTTACCATGGTTCAAAAATACCATCAAAAAGATTAATCATCTGTTACGAAGTTATATTTAATACTGAAGGTACTAAATTTTGACGTAATTACAGCAGTTAAGTGAAGCTCTGTAGTCAGATAGTTATAAAAACTTAACGTCATCAAAAACAATTACCAAAGTTTTCCATATCACTTGGAACATTTGTTGATAAAAGCAAGATTAAAATCCGGGGTAGAAATGTCAGATAGAATGTCACAATGTTAGAATTGCAGGAATGCATTCACAGATTACGTCACTGGAACGTCACAACTTTTCTAAAACGTCATCGTTTCTTGTGGTGAGGTCATCGTAAAGCAGTTATCTGCGAAGCATCAGTTATCCGTCTGAAATGAAAATAGAAAATCGTTTTACATCAGTATTATTATTTGCTACTGGCAGCTATTAGGCTGATTATAGACACAAACGGAAAAGGATTAGTAAACCTTTGCTTGCCTGTTCCTCAATATCCTAAACAAAATTCTCCACCAAGTCTTTGAAACAAGTAGCAATCTTATGGTGATGAAGTATACAACACCTCTAAATATGAGTTCTCGTATGGTTTGTAGATTTACTGTTTAATATAATTGGTAAAATCTAAATATCATTTTTAATAAAACCTGCATAGCATATGGTCTTCTAAGTGTGTCTTTAAAAGTTGTGAAAGGTGAAGTTAAGAAGAAAATGACAAAAATACAAATTACGCAGTTTATCCGTTAAATTCAAATTCGATACTTAATATACATAATCCATACTCTGCATGTACAAACCGCTTGAATGGAGGAGTATATAAATGTGGGATTTGTATTAAAGTAAAAATGATCAGTGTTAAAAATTAGATGATTCTGACTGCATAAAATACTAATCTGAAAGACCTTTTTTGTTTTTAGCTGATATTTACACGTCTGGTAGACTAGATTCATACGGGTATTTTTTCATGAAACATAATTCATCATGTCTTGATCGATCTTGCCATTGATTTATCCACTTTAGTTATTTTTTCTTCATTTTTTTCTGCCATGTTCACTTTAAATTGTCAATGCATAACTGCTACATTAGAACGAGATATTTATTTCACGTTTTTAAAAATTATTTTGGAAAAGCCATGTTCTTGGAAGTTAGAGAATATCTGTCACACCAAATCTAGTGTCTCGTGTACCGATACTGATAGAAAGACCCACCTTGCACTTTAACCATAAAATCCACCAAGCTTTCCAAAACCTCCGAATCCACCAAATCCTCGGCCAAATCCGCCAAATCCACCAAACTTTCCGAATCCACCAAATCCTCGGCCAAATCCCCCGAACCCTCCAAATCCACCAAATCCTCGGCCAAATCCCCCAAATCCTCCAAATCCTCCAAATCCACCGAAACCACCGACTCCACCGAATTTACCACCAAAACCAATGGGTAACGCCTGTGTCACGTGCACAGTTGCCATGGCAACAATCACAAGAAGGACGACGATTTTCACCATCATGTTTTTGAAGCTTTTTCTGGTGACAGTGGACGTCGTTTGATGCAAGCAGCGATTTAGACGGCTACAGACCCTAGAGCACTGCTAGCTGCCCAGTTATATAGCACACCAAGCGTGACCAAGGGTCATCTCGAGTGACCAAGGGGTACTCGCGCAGCCACGATATTTAAGATAAAACGACTGTTAAGTAAGCTTCGTGTGAGGAAAATTCCATCTCAGTCGAAATGGACATAATTACAGGGTTCAATGTTGATATGGATAATATGATAATGTGTTTGTTTTATAAAATGAAAAGTTATCTACACCCAAGCAGTGAAATGCTTCGTTAGTTTGCTGCCGTCGCGGACTTACTCTTCTGTTTTGACCGTTGACCGTTAGAAATAGCTGCGTGTAATTAATACATTGTCCTCTTTTCAATAATAATGGTCATTGTCAGATGCCTCATTTTGGCTGCAGCTTTGGTTTTGACTCTCAATCTGTCGATATCAACTTTACATAACTGTCTGTATGTCGTCACAGGGAGCTGAGGG